CCCTGCCCCTTCCCCCAAGGCCCCGCCCTCCCCTTGCTTCTCTTTCTGCACCCCTCATGGCTGTTCCCCACTCCCTGCAGGAGGAATTTACCTGCAGAGCTAGGGCTGGGAGCAGCAGCTGCCTGATGCAGGGAAGAGTTGACCCTGACAGGGTAGGGGCTGGTGAGAGCTTAGTGTCTCCTCACCTCCTCGTCCCTCAGTAACCAGTATCTCTGACTGGACACCGTCAGGTCCCCTGTCCAACCGCCAACCTGGCCACCTCAGAGGTGGGCCCCGTGAACGTCGCTCTGGGGAGTTCACTAGAACGATGCTGATTGATGCTAGTTGAGGAGCTGGGGCTTTTCTGCCCAGGGCAGAAGCGCCGATGGGGGTGGGGGAAGGGCAAAGGGGGCAACTGCCCCAGGGTCCAGCAATTCAAAAGGGCCCGAGGCTGCCGTTACTGCAGGAAATCGTAACCGGCGCTCCAGCTGGCTCTGAGGACTGGTGGGGACTGCCGCATGGCACCATGCAGGCAGCACTGAGGACTGCCCCAAGCCCACCCCTTCTGCTCAGGCCCCGCCTCTTCTGCTCGAGGCCCCGCCCATTTGTGAAACTTGGAGCGGACCCCCTCACACAAGTCTGTCGGCCTGCCTGGCCCAGGACTCAAGCTGGCTGTAAATCAGTCACACGCTTCTGTAAACGTGTCAGTTCCAGCAAAAACTCCCTTAGATGAAGTATCCGGAAGTGATTTCTATTCAGTTGACAGCCAAAGAGAGACAGCGCCTCCTGGGGAAAGACCGTTTCCTCGCCGCAGCTTCAAAACTTTTCAGACGTTCAAGCTGAACCTCTCGTTGAAGCTCATCCTTTGCCACTCAGAGCGTCGCGTTGGACCAAACCACGTTCCCTGGCCAAAACATGTCGTTGGAACATTCCTGACTAACCCTAATGCTAACAACCTTGCTAGGAAGTCACGCAAGGGGCCTGCTCTGAGGCCGTGGGGAGAACGAGGGCAGGCCAAAGGCCCGTCAAATGCTTGTTTTATCAGGTCTTGCTTAGGGATGTTAATGGGCCCTGGTTAAACAGTTACCCAGTAAGCATCACCCTTAATGGGTGAGGATTACCGGGTAACAGTTAACCAGTACCCGGGAGCAGCTCCCCACCCGCAGGCCAACCATGGGCGGAGGGCTGCTCCAGTCGTGTCCCCCCTTTAACGGTCAGGGCTAGCACTCTGATTCAATGGGATTTTACATCCCTGCTCTTGCTTGGATCTTACCGTAGCCCTTTGCATGCGCTGAGGGTGACACTGGATTGCTCCATGCCTCGCACGACACCCTGGTAGAAGCAATGGTCCTGGAAAGGAGAAAGAACCTCGTCAAGGGAAGGAACGGCTTGGTGAGTTCACTCTCACATGAGCAACGCTGGAGCCTTTAATTCTCTCTCGCATGGTCCCTCCTGCCCGCAGGTTAGACTTTCGCACAACAGCACACTGGGGTCCCCTGACTCAAACCTAGCCTCTCCGCTGCCTTAACATGGCCTCACAGGTATGCATGCAACATACGCCTCATTGCTATGAACATCTAAGGCGCTGTGATGTCCTGAGGAAGCTTTGCAGAAGAACAGATGTGGCTGCAGAACGAAGGGCCTGACCTAAAGGTCATTGAAGTCAATGGGAATCTTGTCGTTTGATTTCCACTAGCTTTCGGCCAGGCCCCGAAGAATGTGCCGACCTCACAGCCTAGTTCTATAAAGGGTGACGTGATAAACCGGAAAGTCCATTCAAATGGGCTCATCGCAAGACAAAAGGGAGACTATGGTAGGAACAAGGAAGCCACAAGGGCCAAGAGACAGCCAGTGTTCCATCACAGCCCCACTGTTCCCCCAGCTGTATGCCCCAGGGAGGAGGAAGAGGGAGCAAACAGTAACAAGGGAAGTGATCTCATGGTCTTTATCTCTTAGCTGAAAATTGTAACCAATTGTGGCTCTTTGTGCGATTGCAGCCGAGAGCATTTGGCCCTTGTCGGAGGCTGGTAATCGGGTGATGGGTTTTCTGACAGGGAGCCAGCTGGCATGGGCAAGTCTTGCCAAAGGCTGAGAACACAGCAAGCACGGAGCTCCTGCTTTGCAAAGAGCCAGGGGACGAGCAGCCGCATGGGAAGGCAATGGGACTGAGCCGCCTGGACATGTTTCACTCCGGTCTGCGGTATCTTTGCTAGCAGGCGCCCACGTTGGGTATTTGGGGTCGGGGGAAGACCTTGGCTCACAGAAGTGGAATTCTGCCACTGGGAATAGGACACTCCGCTGGCGTTTTATTGGCTTGCAGCCACCCTGCCACCAGACAGTGGCAAACAATCAAATGAGCTCATGCACTGAGGAGTTTTGTCCTCGTAAAGGAAAAAGCAGCATTTTCAGAGAATCCTAGGGCTGGAAGAGACCTCAGGAGTCATTGAGTCCAGCCCCCTGCCCAAAGCGGGACCGACCCCAACTCAATCCCCCCAGAGTTTTGTCAAGCCGAGACTTAAAAACCTCTAGGGATGGAGATTCCACCCCCTCCCTAGGGAACCCAGCCCAGTGCTTCCCCACCCGCCTAGGGAAATAGTTTTTCCTAATCTCCAACCTAGACCTCCCCCATTGCAACTTGAGACCATTGCTCCTCGTTCTGCCACCACTGAGAACAGCCTCTCTCCATCCTCTCTGGAACCCCCCCTTCAGGGAGTTGAAGGCTGCTCTCAAATCCCCCCTCACTCTTCTCTTCTGCAGACTAAATAAGCCCAAATCCCTCAGCCTCTCCTCGTAGATCATGTGCTCCAGCCCCCTCATCATTTTGGTTGCCCTCCACTGGACCCTCTCCAATGCATCCACATCCTTTCTGTACTGGGGGCCCCAGAACTGGACACAGTACTCCAGATGTGGCCTCACCAGAGCCGAATAAAGGGGAATAATCACTTCTCTGGATCTGCTGGCCATGCTCCTCCTAATGCACCCTGATATGCCGTTAGCCTCCTTGAATTTTCACTTTCAAGAGCTCCACAATTCTGCAAAGACTAACAAGAAATGGCTAGATGCCGGCAAGGTGAGAGGCCTCCCTACAGCCCACTGCTGCTGCCCCACAGACCTAACCCGCAGCCTCTGTCAGACCGCGCCAGTCCAAGAACTCCTCCGAGATGGGACCATTGACTGGCCAGAGAGCTGCTCCCTGGAGACTTCTGCTGGCTGAGAAATCCAAACTCAGTCCACATTCAGCCCGGTCGAGTTGGGAACTCAAGTCTCCAGAGGGTGAAGCCCCGTCCCCTCTCGGTTCCCTCCCCTTGGGTTCGCCTGCTCGCTGTGCATACTTACAGTGTGGTTGAACGGGATGGTGCGGGGCGTTCCTGTCTGGGTATAGTGGGTCTCAGTGTAGCCTGGGGCAAAGAGGTGCCTACCAATAGCAAAACAAAGAGAAAAAAGGACACGGGCATGTTATTGTTGAATCACCTCTGCTGGAATATCAGCAAGAAGGGCTGAATCCAACTGCCCTTTAAATCAATGGAAGCACTCCCATTAACGTCACTGGGCACTGGGTTGAACATGTGGCGAAGATTCACCAGCCAGCTGCCTGGGAAAGGATTCCCTGTAGGAACTCAGAGCCCTCCCCATGGAGTGTCCGATCCCCAGCCGTTGGAAATAGTTGCTGCTACCAGTCACAGATCAGCTACCTGCCATCGTAGGCTGTGCCGGCTTCCACTCCCCTCCGTAGACTCCTCCAGCTCAGCCTTGGAAGCCAGGTATGAGTTTTGTGCCCACGGCTCCCCGGAAGGCTGTTCCAGAACTTCCTCCTCTCTGGTGACTAGAAACCTTGGTCTGATTTCAAGCCCAGACTTGTTGGAGGCCGGTTTCTAGCCATTTGTTCTTATGCCCACACTGGTGCGTAACTGAAATCCCTCCTCTCCCTGGTATGTTTCCCTCGGGTGTATTTATAGAGAGCGGTCGGATCTCCCCTCCGCCTTCTTTCGTCTCGGCCAAACGAGCTGTGACAAGCGTACAGGAAAACACCGAACGAAGGGACTACAACGTGGCAAGCAGACGATGAGCCATTTGGGGGCAGTTTCTCAGGTACCTGTACCACATTCTGCCCTGCACCTCTGATCTGTGAGGCTGCACCTTCCATCTGCCAAGCCCTCCTCTAACACACTTTGAGACATGAGAGACGGGCTGATCGCTTGCCTACGGCATCAACAGCAATCAGCTCAGCTGCGGGACCGATATGATAGGTCTCCTCTCCTTCCCCACAGGGCACCGTCGTGGGGAGAGGCGCAGGAGGTCAAAGGCTAATGGCTATTCTCTCACACACATACTGCACTCGGCTCCTTTTACCTCAGGAAACACACTCATATGCGCATTAGTGCTCGGATACTCATCTTCCTAAGTGCTTCTTCAAACCATTTATTAAATGAAAGCCTGCCCTTGATTCCCAAACTCAGCCCCTTTTTTCTTTTCTTTTTCTTTCATAGAGCTGGAAGAGACCTCAGAAGGGCGTCAAGTCCAGCCCCCTGCTCTAGGCAGGGCCAATCCCAAATAAATCAACCCAGCCAGGGCTTTGTCAAGCCGAGACTTAAACACCCCTAGGGATGGAGACTCCACTACTTCCCTAGGGAACCCATCCCAGTGCTTCACCACCCTCCTAGTGAAATAGTTTTTCCTAATATCCAACCTGGACCTCTCCCACCACAACTTGAGACCATTGCTCCTTGTTCTGCCACCTGTCACTACTGAGAACAGCCTTTTTCCAGCCTCTTTGCAACCTCCCTTCAGGAAGTTGAAGGCTGCTCTCAAATCCCCCCTCGCTCTTCGCTTCTGCAGACTAAACAGACCCAAGTCCCTCAGCCTCTCCTCATAAGCCATATGCTCCAGCCCCCTTATCATTTTGGTTGCCCTCCGCTGGACCCTCTCCAATGCGTCCACATCCTTTTTTTAGTGCCTGAATGATTCCCACCCCCATGTAGCACTATGGCCATTAGCGATATGAACAGGTAACAAAGTGCCTGGGTGGGACTGCCAGCTCCCTGCCCATGCGGGCCAGCAGCCCTGGGTGGGGCCGGCAGCCAATAGCTTCGTAAACTGGGGGCTGCTCCACTATGTCGGTTAACCAGTTAAACGTTAGGTTAACCTAATATTTAACCAGTTAACTCAGGGGTGTCCAAACTTTTTTCAAAGAGGGCCAGATTTGATGAAGTGAACATGTGTGAGGGCCGACCATTTTGCCTGACATTCTTTGAACCATTAAAATTAAATGCAAATTAACTATTTTATGCAAAGTTTATTGTAAACGGCATACTTTTCATTTCGTCACATGGATGACAAATCTAAACAGGTGTTAAATCACTCTGCCTTTCATATCTGAAGGCCAGATGAAAAAAAAATCCAGGAAGCTGAAATATATGTCAGGAACATTGTAAAGTACATTACATATTATTGGTAATAAAGGTTGTCTGTCAACTTTTAAGTTCAAAAAATATGAACAGGAACATAACACCAAGTATCCATGTTGCGTCCAAATATATTTATAACTGATTTAGACCAACTGACATTAACTGAGATTTTACAGTGTGTTCATCTCAATACATATGGATTCGTTGGGGGCCATAAAAGATAGATATTGCCAAATTACCTGTGGGGCCGTATTAAACTGGAACACGGGCCGCAATTGGCCCGCGGGCCGGACTTTGGACATGCATGAGTTAACTGATTAAATGGGATTTAACATCCCTGCCAAGCCCCCCCTCCCCCCCTCCGGCCACCCTTGTATTTTGATTCATTCGTAAATCTGCCCCTGGTTTCATCCAAATCAGATGGTAAAATAAATAAATGAATAAAACTGCTAAAAGTAAACGCTGAGGCACCAGCCAGGTGCCCATGGGACATACAGCAGCACTAATGATCATTTCCAGCCCACAGATGATGTGCAAAGACTTGGGGATGTGATAGGAAGAAAACCACAAGATTTCACTTGAGGCTTATACTGCAAACTCTCTGGGACAGGAACTGCATGTTCTTATGCGTTTGAGCAATGCCCAGACCAATGGGGTCATGGAACCTCTGCTACTATTGGCAATAGATTCAAAGATGGGAATGTGCGGTCATCTAATCTGACCTGGTCATAGAATTTAAGAACGTAAGACCATGGGACTTGCAGGGACCTCCTGGTCTATTAGTGCAAGTAATTCCTTAGAGTCACAGAATCATAGAGCTGGAAGGGACCTTGAGAGGTCACCAAGTCCAGTCTCCTGCCCTCGCTGCAGAACCAAGCACCGTCTATCATCCCTGACAGAAGCCGATCCAACCAGCTCTTGAATATCTCCAGTGATGGAGATTCCACAACCCCCTAGGCAATTTATTCCAGAGTTTAACCACCCTGGCAGGTAGGATGTTTTTCCTCATGTCCAACCTAAATCTCCCTTGCTGCAGTTTAAGCCCATTGCTTCTTGTCCTACCCTCCGAGGCCCAGGAGAACAATTTTTCTCCCTCCTCCTTGTAACATCTTTTTACATACTTGAAAGCTGCTATCCTGTCCCCTCTCAGCTTTCTCTTTTTCAAACAAAACAAACTCAGTTCTTTCAGTCTGCCCTGAGAGGTCATGTTTTCTAGCCCTTTCATCATTTTTCATTCAGGTACTACAGTACTGAGCTCAATAAAACTTGTGTTTGGCTAACACATCTCGCCAGAAGTTCCTCCAGTCTTCTGCAGAAGACACCAAAGGTATGTCTACACTACAGCACTAATTCAAACTAACTTAATTCGAATTAGTTAATTCGAACTACCAGCCGTTAGTTCAAATTAACTTTCATAGGCGCTACACAGGCAAACCTCTAGTTCGAACTTAATTCGAACTAGCGGAGCGTTTAATTCGAACCAGGTAAACCTCATTCTACGAGGACTAACGCCTAGTTCGAATTAAGTAGTTTGAATTAAGGGCTGTGTAGCCACTTAATTCGAACTAGCGGAGCGTTTAATTCGAACCAGGTAAACCTCATTCTACGAGGACTAACGCCTAGTTCGAATTAAGTAGTTTGAATTAAGGGCTGTGTAGCCACTTAATTCGAACTAGCGGAGCGTTTAATTCGAACCAGGTAAACCTCATTCTACGAGGACTAACGCCTAGTTCGAATTAAGTAGTTTGAATTAAGGGCTGTGTAGCCACTTAATTCGAACTAGCGGAGCGTTTAATTCGAACCAGGTAAACCTCATTCTACGAGGACTAACGCCTAGTTCGAATTAAGTAGTTTGAATTAAGGGCTGTGTAGCCACTTAATTCGAACTAGCGGAGCGTTTAATTCGAACCAGGTAAACCTCATTCTACGAGGACTAACGCCTAGTTCGAATTAAGTAGTTTGAATTAAGGGCTGTGTAGCCACTTAATTCGAACTAGCGGAGCGTTTAATTCGAACCAGGTAAACCTCATTCTACGAGGACTAACGCCTAGTTCGAATTAAGTAGTTTGAATTAAGGGCTGTGTAGCCACTTAATTCGAACTAGCGGAGCGTTTAATTCGAACCAGGTAAACCTCATTCTACGAGGACTAACGCCTAGTTCGAATTAAGTAGTTTGAATTAAGGGCTGTGTAGCCACTTAATTCGAACTAGCGGAGCGTTTAATTCGAACCAGGTAAACCTCATTCTACGAGGACTAACGCCTAGTTCGAATTAAGTAGTTTGAATTAAGGGCTGTGTAGCCACTTAATTCGAACTAGCGGAGCGTTTAATTCGAACCAGGTAAACCTCATTCTACGAGGACTAACGCCTAGTTCGAATTAAGTAGTTTGAATTAAGGGCTGTGTAGCCACTTAATTCGAACTAGCGGAGCGTTTAATTCGAACCAGGTAAACCTCATTCTACGAGGACTAACGCCTAGTTCGAATTAAGTAGTTTGAATTAAGGGCTGTGTAGCCACTTAATTCGAACTAGCGGAGCGTTTAATTCGAACCAGGTAAACCTCATTCTACGAGGACTAACGCCTAGTTCGAATTAAGTAGTTTGAATTAAGGGCTGTGTAGCCACTTAATTCGAACTAGCGGAGCGTTTAATTCGAACCAGGTAAACCTCATTCTACGAGGACTAACGCCTAGTTCGAATTAAGTAGTTTGAATTAAGGGCTGTGTAGCCACTTAATTCGAACTAGCGGAGCGTTTAATTCGAACCAGGTAAACCTCATTCTACGAGGACTAACGCCTAGTTCGAATTAAGTAGTTTGAATTAAGGGCTGTGTAGCCACTTAATTCGAACTAGCGGAGCGTTTAATTCGAACCAGGTAAACCTCATTCTACGAGGACTAACGCCTAGTTCGAATTAAGTAGTTTGAATTAAGGGCTGTGTAGCCACTTAATTCGAACTAGCGGAGCGTTTAATTCGAACCAGGTAAACCTCATTCTACGAGGACTAACGC